CCCTGCAACAAGCAGGAACATCTTCAGCTAGATCAGCTTGCCCAGAACCACATCCAGCCTGGCCTTGAATGCCTCCAGCGATGGTGCATCTCCAACCTCTTTGGACACCCTGAGCCAGTATTTTACCACCCTTCCTCAGAGACCTGTTTTCAGCCTTCCACCACCTTCAGTTTTGGGTGTTTCCAGTTCTCTTCCATCCTGCGAACCTCAGAACTTTTGGCTTTGCAAGGGGGTAAGGCTCCCACCCAGCTGCAAATTCAAACCTCATCGTGCCCCAGGGTGGCCTTGAGCAGAGCTGGGAACACAGTTGAGCTAGGCAACCTCAAGCTCCACTCTAAGAGAAGCAGTGTGCATGCACACCCCACGCTTAGCAGTCCCTATTGAACAGGAGGGTGTTTGCAGTCTGAGGCAGCCAAGCAGGTGCTTTCCCAATCTGAGCATCCCAATTCCCTCTCCATGCCCCTGCATGGGGCTCGCTGTGGGCTGCTGCAATGGAGGGGGTTAAAGCAGGCTGAGCTGAGGACTCCCAGCTGCGTGCACTGGCTGCCTGCGCTGTGTGGGGAGCTGGGCTGCACCAGATGCACAGAATTAAGTAATTCCCCCCAGTCAGCTAGAAAAGGGCTGTGTCTCTAGCACTGGGATTAGCACTGGGGGAAGTTAGGGTTTTATGGTAGGGAAGGAGTTGAAAAAAAGCTGCATTCGACTGATTCCTTGCTTGCACATTGTCTAGGGAGGATTTGGGCTACGTGAAAGCTGTCCTGAGAGGAGCTCTCTTGGCAGCAGGGTTAAGAGAAGCCTGACCCGCTGACTTCTTCATTTAGCATCTAGGCTGGGGAGAGATGCTCGTTTAGCCCAAAAGCTTGGGTGAGGCTGTCAGCTGGAGTTCAAGATCCAGGGACTTAATGTCCCATGACTGAGTGTAGCTTGTTTGACCTGTAGATCTTGAGAGTAAGGAGCAGAAGTATTTTTATGGTATATGCTGAGCCTGCTCTCCCTGACTCAAACACCTCCTGGAAAAATGAATAATTGAACCTACATGTGACTGTGTATAGCCCCTTCTTCAAACACAACCTGAAATAGGGCAGAATATCTTCTAACTTCATAGGCTTTTTCTCTAGCTAACTGTATAGGACTGGCTGTAAACTCCATAGGGGCTGAGTAAACTGTATAGGAGGGAGAAGTCTTTTTAAGCCCATGCTTTTGAGCAGTAGCCTTCAATTCTGATTTTTTTAAGCTAAGCAGTGTGGTGAATTTCTGCCTTCTGACTGAGCTTAAGAAGGAAAAAACAAATCAATACTGATTCTTTTATTTTTTTATTTGCCAAGCCACACTGCTCCCTCCTAAAATCAAGAGATGTTACTATTGGCACAGTAGGTTTAAACTCACTTCTGTGTTTTGCATGTTTAAATAATGAAGAAACTGATTGAATGAGATTGTCTATTAGTTGCATTAGATCAGCAGTTTTTTCTTTGAGGTGATGCAACAGATTGTTTGCTGAATAATACAGTAAGAATAGACTCATTGTGCAAAGCCCTATAAACCGTCTGAAGAAAAAACAGTGTCCTTTTCCCCCCATGACTAATTCCAAGCCACTAGCTGCTTCTGATCTTCCTGTATCCAGCATAAGCCCAATGCTGTGCATAACACACATCTAATGGTTGTCAAGAACTAGTAGTAGTTTGTTAGGAGAAGGAATGTTGAGAAAAACAGACCAGAAACAATAAGGGGGATTGGTAGTGTGAGGAGCTCCCTAGGCTATGTTTTGGGGTAGCTACATTCAGTCCATGGTGTTTATACATCATTCTCATGTGATCTTGGGAAAGTCTCTTAATCTCTTGTGTCAGTTCCACAGATGTGTAATAAGAGGCACCATCTTGTCTCTAGGATGTAGTAAGTATTGAGTAAATGTCTATATTATGTATTAAATATATGCATTTAGCATGTACTAAGGTGGTAAAGCAAGAACCAATTCTGTAAAGACATGTGTAATGCTCAGGACACAGGGTCCTGATTTCACAGTGCATCAGTTGTGATGTAAAATCCAAATTAATTCTCTCCTAATTCTTGATAGTGTTCATTATCTCAATTCAAAGTTTGGGTAGATGCTTATTTTTAGCTTGTGCAAGGGAATGAAAGGGGAGGATCTCCCACACCAACCATTTTGGTTTCCATATAAATACCTGTCTCATAATGTTACAGACAAGTAAAGGGTTCTTACCACACATAAGGTGTTACAGTAATCCTTCAAGGACTCCTTTTAATGAATAAACCAGAGATGCTTCATATGTCGTTTATAAGTTGTTTATTAAGGGTTAATGATGTATCTTTTCTCTTTGGCATCATTCCCAGCCTAAATCAAGCCTGCTTCATCTCATATGGATATGAAAGACAAACTGTACAGATTGAAAACATCTGTATACTGAGTGAATGAACCACATGGCAGCAGTGTCATGCAGAGATTTACTTAAAACTGTCCCCTTTTGTTTGACTTTAGAGGAACAGCACAAATAAATACAGTAGGTTCTGTTTAAACAAAGAGGACTCTGATCAATAGAGGTTTGTATAGCTTACGACCTTACGACCTTCAACTATAAACAAAAAATTGGGGTAAACCCCACATGTCTCAGGTCAATTGCTGTCTTATTTACTTTATTACGCCACTAATGTTCTAATCTGTCTTGCATATAAAATGCTTTTTACAAGCTGTCTTGCTTTGCTTCTCTGTATTTGCCAGAGATAAAAGGGAAGGTTGCGTTTGTTATTCAGAGCAACCTGTGAGCATGGGTATGAGTGTGCTGCAAATTTTGACTGCCCGTGTAAGCCGGCAACTCAGACCAACCAGTTCAGGCAAATTTCAAACTCCAGTAAATTTTGCTCGAGGTCTCTGATAACTTTCTGTGCTTTTTAAGGGGGTTCAAGCATCCAGAAAGAAACTCAAAATGGTTTGTGGCTCATCCTAAAAAGACCTGTGCACAAACCAGAGGCAGTGCTGAATAGAAAGTGGTTGCTTTGTTCTGGCTGCAAGCTAGGGTTATCCTTTCTGCACTGACACTTGAAAACATTTGCAAATATCTGGTAAGGACTGACCCTAGCTGTGAGATTTTATTATTATTATTTTTGTTACTGTCTCCCAGCAAGATTAAGCCATTCCAAATACTGAAGGGAAGACACCCCTGTATGTGTTCTGCCCTCCTATCTCCAAATAACTAACTTAAATCATAATTACTTTTCCTAGGACTTTTTCTCATTTTCTAGAAAGGAGAGAGTGTTACCATAACCTGTTTCTGTTCATCTTTATCTACCCTGTCTAACTTTTAATCCTTTTCACCAATTTTAACAAAGACAAAAAAAGAGAATGCCACAGAGAAAATGTGACTATACAGGTTTATGAAAATAGCAAGGTAGAGGAGAAAGACCAGTCACACATTTCCCAGTGGATGAAATTACAGTAGGAGCCCTCACAAGACATTAGAGGAGCCAGTCAAGACACAGAAAGCCATGAGAAGCCAAATTTATTAGTCCTGCTGCTCAGTTATTCAGATGTTTTTCTTTACTGGGGCATTCCTGTTCCCATTTACTCCATGATTTTCAACTTCAGTAGTATCTCGGAAATACTCCACTTTTGCTTCAAGTGCATTTTCTTGTGGAATTCAAATACTTTGGTGGGTAACAGAATAGTAAATCCCATTGGACACGTGTCTTTCCTCAGAGCTTTGAAAGATATGGAGGGATATTTTTGGGGGTTGTTTGGTTTTGAATTTATGTAATTTTTTCAGTTAAAAAGAAAAGAGCACTCAGGCTGCTTGCCTATCTGCATTCTCATTCCATTAGCTAGATGACTTCTGATCCATCAAGCAGCTTCTCAGCTGCATACCTCACTGGAAGAAAATCCTACAGACATTTAGGTTTTGCAACTGAGCAGTTGTGTGCTTGTCTTGCTTCCAGCATTTCTTCACCGTCCCCGTTTAGGCCCAGAAGCTAGAGCTGCAAGTTCTAGTCTCAGCGTAATGTCTCCCCTGTCATTAAATTATTGAGTTAGTCCTGCAATCTCCAGCCCAGCAGTTGGAGACACTACCTCATAGCTGGTGGGTCGCTGGCAGCAGGTTTGACAAAACCCTTCAGGGATGGCTAGTGGAGGATCTTTCCTGGCAGGTCCCAGCTTGGTTTGTTAGGTCAGTGGGGAGACAGACGGGGCTAACCACGCCATGCCCGTGCCAAAGCCACGCTGGCCAAGATTGGTTAAGTTTGGCTGTATCTTCTGGCACAGCTTTGGAAGTACTGAAGAAGAGGCTGTGGTCCTTTGACTGAATAAGGGAAGGAAATTTAGGTATTGGAGTCCTCGGGAGATGCTGTTTTGCTGCCCTCTAGGCAAAGATTGAAGCTTAAAACATGAAAACTGCAGAAAATACTGTCCTGAGCACACCGAAGCAAAGGAAAGGGTTGGGGAGGTTGAAAGACTTCTTGTGGAACTTCTTGAAGGTGTGACTATAAAATCTCTAAAAAGATCTCTGGGCTCAGATAAGGAAGATCCAGTGGTGTACAACAAAGAATTATCAGTAAAGGCATCATAATTACAAAGTACTTTTATATTAAAATGATGTCATGTAATAGGTTGAAGAACAAGAAATAAATAAGCTGTGCAGATCTCCTTTATCTAAATAATTGTTTCTTATGTGTTCAGCTGCAAACTTCTCATGTAATTCCTGTCCTTTAATGGTAAAAATAGAATTAAATAAAGACAATGAAGCTGTTTTAACGTTTCAGCATTATGCTTCATTTTCAGGATCCTGAAGTACATCACTGAAATGTAGATCCAAGGGAATTGTGGAAATAGAGAATACGATGTACAGTGAAGGCTTAATACAGAGTGTGTCATCACAGGGCTCTATGGCAAATATATAACCTCATTTTAAAATATATGAACTACTGTATGGAAATTCAAATATTTTTATAGAAAATATATAACTGCATGACTTTGACAGTTGAATACTCTTTTGTAGGTCTTGTTTCCTGATGTCTGTTCACTGAGGATAAATCTACATTTCTCCCATGTGAGGAATTATGCTGAGATCTGCCCATGGAAAATTACATTCTAGGAGCAAGAATCAGAAAGGACCTTTGCTTTTAGACTTTCCTTTAAGAGGTACACAACATAATGAGCAAAATGGAATGAAGTGTATTAACCTTTGGAAGACGAAAGATAATCAGGTCTGAACCAATGCTCCCCGTGGTTAGACCACAAGCTTTTATGAAAGCTTTTTGATCGGTCTGTGTATCTCAACATTTCCTAGGAGGGCATTCTCTTAGGTCATATATTATTGGGGGAGGGGTATCAAAACAAAAAAGCACACCAAAACTAAACAGATAAGAACAATAGTTGATCCAGAAGTGTTTAAGTCTCATCTCCTAAACCAAAACAGATACAATGATTTTAGAAGCAATTGGCTTTTGACTGCTACTACAAATACAGAGAATGTTAAGGAGGTGGAAAATGAGGTCAAGTTCCTATTATTTGTGAATCCACACATTATTGTATTGTGAATGCTTGCTCCTTTTTCATCTTTGTAGACAAAAGATCAAATTATCTTCTCAGGTTGTCAGGATAGGAGAATGTTCTGGAGGTAATTTGGAGAATACAGTAATCTTTTCAGCATGGCTTCAGTGGTTTCTTTGCCAGTCTGTGGCACCGAGACAGCTTTCCTGTGAACTGCAGGAGAGCTGAGAGCTTGGTGACCTGCCTCTGTTCACTCAGTAGGGGCATGTCTCTGCACTGTTGCTGGATCTTTTTATCTGCTTATGCTACTGGTGACCATGATCCCCTTCTTTCTCATCTGGGCTTGAGACTGACCTGCTTGACTCCTGAGCTGCATTTGACTCATTGTATTTCTTTGGCTGCCAGGACTAGGAATCCTTTTTACTCAGCCCTGCTCTACCTTAGGCAGCTGCCGGTGAGCAGTTGTATTTTCTCATGTAGTGTTGTCTACCCATAAGGGGCATCTGTGTCAGTTTTGGTATCTACAAGTTTTTCAGAGCTTTCAGTTTGTGTATAATCTTGGAATTTACTTATCATACCCTGCAGATTCTGAAAACAGGATATTGGAAGGTGCTGTTTGTAGGTGTCTGCTGTATTATGAATGGATTCAAATGTACTTACATTTAATTTGTCCTGTGATTTGGTCACTTTGTTTCAATGGGCAATATGGATGTGTGAGGGTGGTCTTGTGAACCAGAAGTGTATTTCCAGAGCAGGAACAGGTTAGGAATGTGTGCTGTTCTTCATTAAAGAAAGGATGGATATATAATGAATGCACATTTGTAAAAGAACTTGTATCGCAAGAACATTAACCTGCTTTTTTGTATTGGCTGGGAGGATGTAGGTGGCTTGTAGGGAGAAAATGCAGGAGAGGCCTCTGAGATGCTGGAAGGAAATAGTATTTTTCTAGAGTTTCCTTCTAGACTAAATTTTCCGATAAACTGTAGTTTGAAGGTATTACTTAATTCCCAAGAGTGGAATGGAAATAAAAACAAAGAAAAGTATCCAGGAAGAGCTGCTGGAAACATATAAGAGTAAGTAGTCGCTCACTCTTCTCATAGCTCCATAGTCTCCATTCAAAAAATGTCTCCTCAAGCAACAAAGCCTCTGTGTTTTAACCTGTGCTACCAGCAAACAAGCAGTCTTTCTGAGCCAAAACTCGCTGCCACAGCCACAGTTTATAATCAGGAGCATCTCTGTACAGACATAGAGAGAACACAGAACATTTCCTTGGGGCACAAGTGTTGAGATTGTACCCTTGGAAGATGAACTCTCTCCACCTGCAGAGGTGACAGTCCCCAAACACACAGGGACAGCTTGGTCTTCTTGCAACACCAAAGCCTTGCTGCACTGTGCTCTACATCAGCATCTAGGGAATTTCCATTATCACCAGATTTAAGATGTGTGAGAAATTTCCCCCTTATCCTTACATCAGACTCTTGGGCTGATATCATTAATAATGATCTCAGAGTGATTAGATGTTGAATGCTGGGAAGGCTGAGTTAAGGGAGGGGGGAGAATAAGAAAATTAAAGAGAAACAGAAAATTGTATATCTCTCAAAAGCAATGGATTCCTTGCCACTAGCAGGTAAAGGCAATGGCACACATTGCTTGCTTTGGCTCCTCTAGTTGATTTAAAATTTCAGCAAGGGAGACAGTTCAGTTCAAATTGCTGTCATCCTGGCAAAAAGCTGTTTACCTGTTCAGAAGAGGAGTACTCATTAGTACTGGATAGGTTTCATATACCTGGTCTTAGGATCTCTTTCCCTCAGCTGCTGGAACATGAAACCTTCCAGCTGCCTCTCGCCACACTTTGCTCAGAGAACAGAAAATACCACAAACGAATTTTACTAAATCCCTCATTCAGTGTACTGAGAGCCAAAGCCTGAAGTAAGACTCCTGATAAATATGGGGATCCAAATCTGGCCTTTGGAGAGCTATCATCTATTACGCTCTAGCGAAGGAGCGACTTGATGTTAGTATCTGAGTGCTCATTGCAAAGCTTATTTTGTTACATCAGCAGGCCACAAGGTTCAATAAACTATGTGGCCTTTATCTGTTCCATATGTACTGGCCGCCTCCTGTAGTTCCTATGTATTTACACTGTACATGAGCTTTAATGCAATCTGATGCCTTTAGACAGTAGAAATGCAGATAACTCTTTGGTTTGTAAAACCCAGTTTAAGTTTGATTCTGCATCAAAAAATAATGCCAGTAACTGCGATTTCTGTTTTCAAGATACAGGTTTCCAGAGGGGCTTATGACTCAGAGGATTTTATAGGCATTGAAATGTGATGGATTAATTGTTAATAAAAGTTAGATTGGGTAAGTGAATACGAACATCATACTGAGTTTAATGATTACATTGGCCTCCAAACATTTTAAAGGGCAGTTTTGGATTGGGATCCCTGACTTTTAAATTCTTTGCCTAGAAATTTATTTAACTGGAGAACAATACACACCATCCAAAACAGCATCTTCTTCTGTTTTATTTGTTTTGCACTGTGTTATCACTGTCTCCTATCGGGATCTCACTGTACAATAGTGACCTCTGATGTAAAGGAATCAGGAATGCCATTTGCAAACCCTACCATACAGCCTTACTGAGCAATTATAAACCTATTCATCAGCAGCCAAACAGCTTAGAAAGGAAGAGACGTGTATGCACACACACACGTACACACACAGCTGAAAGACCAGTGATAAAATTGAAGAGCACAACACTGAAGGATCTTTAGCCATTAATTTTTATAGCTGATACAGATACTAATATTTTATGAGGTTTTGAGCTATCAGTATAAAAAAAGTAATATCTAGCCTTACCGTTTTTGTTTTAATTCAAAGATAAAGCTGCCAATCACATAGAGCAGCGTTATAGTTAATAGACCTCCTCTTTATGAACAGATCTGTTTTCCTGTTTCCTTTTGTCAATATTTATAAAAGCAGGATATTTTTGCCTAATCCTGTCCAAAATCCATGGGTTGGTTTCTTTAAAGAAGCACCTCCCCTGCTTACTCGTTTCTTAAGGTATACTTCAGTTAAATAGCAGAGCTGGGTTGATCCCAGCCAGCTGTTATATGTTGTAGTTTGTGAAATGGCTCCTTTTAAAAGCAAATTCTGAAGTGGCACCAGGATATTGGATAAGACACCACTGCAGAATTCGCATGATGATGAACATTGGAACTCCTTAAAAGTGCTGTCCTGTTTCTCTAGGGACGCAGGGGGGTATCTCATTTGAGTGCTCTCCATCGTTATTTCAGACAGTTACAGCTGCCCAAAGATATCGCTGGTGGGCGAGGTAGGTGATTTTGCAGATGCTGCAAAATAGTCCTTGAGGTCAGGGGAATGAATTCCAACAGGATGGAACAGAAACCAGGGAGAACCCTGGCCCCTGGTCATGTGATATGTCTAAGACCATGACCCTTTAGAATAAATAATAAATGTGTCACCTTAGGGAAAATAACACAAACATTTATTTCCAGCTCACTCAACAAATGATGCCAAAGGCATATTTTTTTCGGAGAAATGGGGTATTCAAAGAAATGTGATATTATATTGGATGCAACTTTGAAAAAGATCTTAGCATAACAAAAGTCTCTCAGTAAGATGTGGTTTTATTTGTGTAGAGCAAGGGTGATCTCTGAGGCAGGATGCTGAACTGGTACTCAGGTGATCCACCTTCTGCTGTCACACAACCACAGACTTCCTCTGTGACTTTATTTATGACCTTATTTACCCCTTACTACAGTTTGACAGTCTTTGAAAGTATGATAAACTTCTTAGTGCTCCGTAGGAAAGTTATACTGCAAGACACACAATTTGCAAAGTTTTCAGCTATTCAAATGCTGAAACTATAGGTAGCTCAGATTCCTGGAAAATGCCACTAGTTCTGAGTTTGTTGCAATTTGCTAGGCAAACATACAGTAAGCAGGAGGCCACAATAAAACCTAAGCTCTGAATTGTCCTTCTGTGAGCTTATTCTTTGTTTTCTTGCAAGATTTTATTAAAACTGCTAAAAGACTGAGAAAAAAAAAAAAAAAAAAAGAAGTACTATGAAACAATTATGCCTTCAAAAACTTTCAGTAGAGTGATCCCTATTTTCCAGCTTCTGGGAAAGTTTTCCTGAGTCATTGTAACATAAACGTTTTGGAAAAACACATATGTTTAGGAAGTGTTTTGATGATATATAAGGTTGAATGGATTCTTCAATATATTGAAAGATGTGTATGCTTTGTAATCTGAGTCCTGGCTGGGCATCAACCTTCCCATAAGGCATTCTGTCCTAGCAGCAGCCAAGAGACCTGATACTAATAATGCTCCAAGAATTCAAGGTGTTTGTTAATATTTAGCTATAATGAATGCAGCATGTGTCTTTGAATAAACTACATGCTTGAATGAGGACCTCTCATTCAAGAAGGTGAGGTGCATAGTATAGTGATTAGACTTAGCAAAAAGCTGTTGTTTTGTACAGATGACACCAGGCAGCTAATTGTCATTGCTAAAAGCACAGCTCCTCCAGCATCACTCATAGAGTCGAGAGGCTGAGCTGCTTTGTTATCCCAAACTGCACCACACTGGTAAATCTTAAGGGAGTGCAGTGGCAGAGAAGTCCCTGCAGGTTGGCACAAATCTGCTTTTTGTTAGAGCACAGTTGTTTCAAGCTTGATATATGTTTGGCTGAATACTCAGCCTTTCTCACTCTGTTTGATTTGTTAAAATTTTACTCTCTTCCAGTAAACTGAAAATGGCTTTGCTTTCTAGAAACCATTTGTTTGAGCTTTGGAGGCGAATGAGTTTCAGCTACACCAGATCATCCCAGTAACCACTAGCAATGCAGAAGTTTGAACTTGTTATAGAAGTGGAGAGGAGGGCTGGAATAGATCCTAAGCATTTATCCTTATGAGACCTGAAATTCCACCAACCTTAGAAGAAGTCTTCAAAGCAAGCAGGATCTGTCCTCCAGTAATCACTTAAGTCCAGTTTGTGGAGAATATTTCAAGTGGTGAACATGCAAGGGAGGTGTTTTCATTCTGATATGTGCAGGTTTAGGGCCAAAACATCTTCTCAGTTGCATAATGGGGTATTAGGGTGGAGACCTTCATTTCCATACTGTTTAAGAGATGATCTTCATACAGGGAAGTGAGATGTTCTAATACCCTTATCTTACCTTACATAACTCCAGATGTTAATCATCAAAAAAAAAAAAAAAAAAAAAAAAGAAGATCCAGCCCTTTTTAATATTAGAGAATGAAATGATAAGGCTTGATTTAATTTTTTAGCTTTCTCCTGATAAACCTTGAGATGCTGCAGGAGGTGGATTCAGTAGACTTCTCAGTAACTTTCAGATGTAATTACATCAGCCTAAGCATATATGTTCATCTTTTGTTCTTCTAAAATATTTTTGCAAAAAGTTTAGAGTAGTAATTCTTAAAGAATTAATTGGAAGAAAGTATTTAATACTCTCTTTAAGGGTAAGAAGGTAATATTAAGAAAAAGCAATCTGGAAGTATAATCAAAATACATTCATAGCATTAAGCAAAATTTTTATCATCTTTCAGTGTTTCCATTTCCAGTCAATCAACTTCATCAGCCACCAATACTCCTAAAAAGCAATTTAAAGTGATTATTTGCTTTGGTACTATTCCTCATTAAATGTAGAGTGAATGCTTCTGAAACCAGTGTGGAGGGGGGTTCAAAGTGAAACCATGTTATTTTAACATATGACTGCATACCTGTATAAAGTTGCTTATGGTTACACTTTCCACACCCTATAAATAATAATAATAATTGCAAATAACGAAAGCTTCCCACTCAGACCAATTTACTGCAATTTTTCTTTCACCATCTTATTCAGTTTATTTAATCTTTACGCTACCTCTGATTGCCTCTGGATTTCAGACACATGAATGTGGATAATTAACATAGATGTAGATACTACACAAGATGCTCAGGTTTATAAGATACAGGCATTTCTAAATTGTTGGTCCTTTACAGTTCCTTTTTAGTTTCCCACTCTCTAATAACAGTAAATTTTTTTTCAGAGGACATAATCCTGGCCTCCCTTCTCCAACCAAAGTGAGAATATCTCACAAGATGGGATTTAAATGCAGAATGAGCTCTTAAGGAAAGGCTCCAATCTGCATGCCACACCTCTGCCCCCTCTTGTATACAATGGAAAGCCAGTCAATGTTATTGTAAATCGTGATGGCTAAGTCCAGAAAAACCATATTTTGCACCTCATCTGGTCTAAATATTGAGTTTACGAGTGAATGTTGCTTTGCATTATGTGTTATAGATGCTTTATGTTTATTTAAGAACTCAGTTTGCAGGAATGTTTTCCAGACATGCGGTTTACCGCAATAGACAGTTGTTGATATTCTGATCCCAAGAGCATTAGAATATGTTTAGAAATTGCGACACTTTTAAAACCAGATGTTCTACATAAGCTACACAAAAAAAAAAAGGGGGGGGGGGGAACAAATAGAACTGTCATTTGGCATGAAAACAGCCTGTGTTAAAGCAAAGGCAAACACATACCAAGTGAAATAAACGTGGTGAACTGCCCTCAACCCTTTCCTTCTTTTCTAAGTAACTATTTTAACAAAAGATGGAAAATCCCAGCTCACACATGGTGTGGGAATGGAGAAGGAAGGCTTTCAGGTCCAAATTCACATATGAAGGAAGCTGATGGATCTTGTTCCTGGGATGGATCAAACCAGAATGACAGAGCTAGGCAACTTCAGGCAAGGAAAGAATGTAAATCTGGATTCAAAGCTCAGGACAGAGATTCATTTTCTGTTGTTTCTAAAGGTAAAGAATCATCAATGAGGAGGCAAACAACATTATGCCCTGCATGGTGAATCACCATGAAGAGGTTCTTGCCAGCAGCTGCAGGATGGTGGCACATGCTGCATTGTCCTCCAGGATGGTTTGATGAAAATACTTCTGTAAACAGGTTAGGGGATCATCCTGCATGAGACAGTTCCAGAGACTGTCTCAAAATACCTCTGCTGTGGGTCTCTGGTGTGAAAGCATAGTTGAGTAGCACAGTAACTGGGATTCACAGCTGTCTCCAGTTGATGATAAACTGTCTATTTCCATTCAGTCTGTTACTGTTTTTGTTCCTAACTTTGAGTTCTTTCCCTTGTTTATTATAAAGGAGAAGGCAAAAGAGTTTCACTCACACCAATCTCAAGGAAGTTGGCCTGTATCTTACTACTCTGAATTATTATTCTCCTCCTATCACAAGTTAACATGTATTAGAGTAATCAGTGATAACACTGTAGGTCCCAACCTAAAAATAATAAGACCAACTGGCAGCCAAAAGAAGAGAAAACAAAGGCACTCCTGCTTTCCTTTACAACAGCATCCCACGGCGATGGAAACATGTTACCAGCAAGTCTGGAGTAATTTGCACAAAACATAGTGGCTTAAGTAACTAAAATGATGCATACTTTGCCAAAAGGTTGAAAATGTTGTATTTGTAATATGAAAGTAATATAAAGTCTGACAAACAGCACTGTTTGAAAGCAGTTCAAGGAATGCTGTGAAGAAAAGCGCTGTGTAACATGCTGTCACCAGCAGGTTTCCTGAGCATTAAGAATCAGGTCTGTAGGGTACAGGACCCTCCTGTATTTTTTCTGGGCAGTAGCAAAGCTCCTCTGCACACTGATGCTGTATTTTTGCAGTCTGCTTGACTGCATAGGAATAAGCTTATTTGTAAGTTTGTGGTTTCATGGGAAGTCAATTTACTTATGTTAGTAAAAGGACCAAGCTGTCCCACTAGCTTAGTCACTCTGACTTCACTGAGCAGAAGACTCCTACTAACTTCAGTGGATGTTGGACTAGTTTGTTAGTCCAGCTTCAAAGAATTAACGCCGTAGTAGGATCTGCCCACTGACTCATTCTGCTCCTCATGAGTACCTGAAAAGCCAGCTCTGAAACTCTTACTAGGTCTGCCTCACCAAAGACAATTTATGGCGGAAGTTCATGTACATATTTATTTTGTTGCTAAAGAGTTTGCTGGCATACTTCAAAGTGTGGGCTATTACCTGTTCAGGTTTATTGCCTGCTCGAGTGAATTATTACCTACCTGAACAAGCCTGCTGAGCAATAGTTCAAATTAAAACGTGTCATTTATCATGTTCACACCAATCCAAAATGACCGCAAAACCCAAGGTGTAATTATTGCCAGGCTCTGAGCGCAGAGCTATCACAGCAAGCTCTCAACCAGTGGGGAATACTGGTTCATCTCTTTGAAGCAAATCCTCTTTCTTCATATCAGTATGACCCTGCCATTAACAGTAATATTGTTTCAACTGCTGATATTCACCACAGAAGCCGACTTCTAAACATGGTGGAAGAATGTGACATGGATCCCACCCAAGATCAGTTTTTCTGCAAACTGCAATTTTAGACCAAAGGTTTTTCATTAATATTTATTCTAAAGACAAATCTTGTACTTCTTACCAGTATTCAGAAAGTAGGTTTTTACATGGCCTGGAATGATGATGCAATTTTTATTTCCATTATTATTATAGCTACTTACTATTATTATATAACCCCACTTTCAGAAAATAAGTGGAAGTAGGATCCCAGTACCAGCACGGGCTGTGAACAATCCAATGTGCCTACAGCTGTAGCAAACCAAGCCTATACACCTGTGTTCTGCTCCATCCTCTTCTATCCCTGTTGCTTGCTGTGTCATCTTTTCATGTTCTTTGATGTATCCCAGGGTTTGTGTACCATTTTACCCTAAGCCTTTTAGGGCTCCAGGTGCCTATGATATGTATATGAAAGTAGTGAAGAGCAGCAATATATACAGTGTGCTGCTCCCTCACATCCCTCCCCAACCCCTCCTGGCTCATCTAGGGCTCTTGATCTTTTTTTGGATAATCTAAAGCTTCTGAAGTAATAGAGAAATAAACCTGTCTGTCTACGTCTTAACAGAAGCATAGTAAATATATATTGTAACACTTCTATTTTATTTTATTTTAGTTTATTTATTTTATTTTTATTTTATTTTATTATTTTTATTTTATTATTTTATTATTTTATTTTATTTCTTTATTTTATTGTTGTAGGATCTGAAAGGAGAGGGAATAATCAAACAAAACTAAAATCGAAAACAGAAATCAGAAGTATGTGCTTTAATGAAACAGTTTTGTGACAGGCATGTTTTTTGTCTGTGCAAACAAGTAGGTAGTAAGTACAGGGAGAGAAGGGGGGAGGAATGACATCCAAATGGGTCTTTAGGCTGATCATAAAAGTTCTCTGGGGTGCAATTGCTTGTGCACAGGGATTGAAGATGGACCAGGACTACAATGTGTGATCAGGCTGTCCACAATTGATGTGCAGACCTGGTTTTGAGCATCCTGATTCCTGTCTCAGTTTGTGAACCAGACCAGGTCTCTGCAGTTAAACACTTCCCAAATTATGGAGTTTGCATCCTGATCTGAATTTTGCAACTCAAGCCTACCTGTGGTTGTACAGTCAGACAGAAAAGCCAACAAGCCAAGAGCAACGCCTAGTCACTGACTTTGATCTAGAAATAGTTATTATCCAGCTATCTCCATTACAAAACATCCAGTTTGCTAAACCTGGGTTATCTACTGATTTGGCTTCATTTGATAGACAAGAGCAGGTCTAGCATGGGAGAGCTTCATATCCCGAAATGATGCATCTTTCAAAAAACTGATAAGTGATAAACCTTGCAAAACCTGTGTCTAGAGTTAATCCTAAATAGCACTACTGGAAGCCATTGCAGATGAGATGGAAAAGTGAGTGAATTAGTGCTTTGCCCTGCAGAACTGGGACTCGCTAGTGGGCAGCGACAGGAAACATATACTTGTAATGATAAGTACATCAGTGCGGTTATGCAGAGGATTTCAGTTTCTCAAGCTATAAGCTTATGCAGATTTTTCATGAGGGTAAATTACTTATTTTCAAGAAGTTTCTCTGAATTTCTTTTTCTTGGAAGCAGAGTGGGAAGTTACTTAAAAAGGAAATCACTTTGAATTCTCTTCTTTTCGCTCCAGATTAGAAGAAACTCTTGTTTCTCTGAAGACAGAATTTGGGTCACAATGCAGTAGCGTTCAGTCCTCATGCTGAATTACTTGCTGAACATGTGGTAGTGTTTTGTGACATGGTCTGTGAACTGGGAAGTAAGCTGAGCTCACCCAACCCATTTCATTTATGGCTTTACACAAGTAAATAAGTATGTTTTCAGCCACTCAACACAAGAATGGCTTGCAAATTGCAGCTGCCATTGCCTGGCAGGTTAAAGGTTAAGCTTTTCAACAGGTCAGACTACAGTGCTAATTCACCTCAGTAGCGAGTCCCAGGCAGCCTGTAATGCATATTTGTGGTGGTTGTGTTTGTATAGCATGCACATAAAATGAAAACCGTATGACAGAGGTTAGTCCTCTTAAATGGTTGTCACATTGGCTTGGGTAACTTTTGTACAGTTATCCATATGCTAGCCAAGTTTCTGGTGGTATTTTCGTATAAATTTTATTGACGTGGTGAACTAAATTGAGTAATTTCATAGCTATTATAATCAGCCAGTGGCCCAAGCAATGCACTGCTGTGTTTATCATGAAAATGTTGCTAACTGGTCTGTCCAGGTTCAGCTTTCAGTGGTGGCTGTCTTCCAAATCTGGAAAACCCCTTTTTTCTGACATAGAGGGTTCAGACGGATAATCCTTGTGTGCTCAATCCACAAAAGCACTGATGCTGTGGGCTGAGGGCTCAGCCGCTGTCGTCAGATGTATCTCCTGAATGTTACACAAATAAGGAGGTTGCTGGAGCTTCTAGAGTTCAGTTCACAACTGCCAAAGCTTGGTCTAAGGCCTGGACTAATAAAATGTCTAAATTAGGAGCCTAAATTAGGCACTTAACTCTATTATGTATTCAGTCAGGAGAGATAGGACCTCTCAGGCATAGCTCAGGGAAGTGTATTTGTCTCTTGTGTGTGCCTGTCCATTCATTGGCTCCAAGAGGAACCCAAGGTAACAGATAATCCTAATGCACATCTTAGTTGGGCTCTTGTAGGGCTAGGGATCTGGACCTAGATAGCAACATCAAGGCAAAAATTCACTTCAAATTGGTTCTTCAGGGGGCTTATATTCTTATGTGACCTTATGTACTGCTTGGTGGACAGCCATTAGATGCAGGCATAATCCTGTGGATAGTCCTGCCAATATTAGTTCAGCAAGTCAAACATCTGAATGACTAAAAGGAGTCATTTAGTGTCTTTTGTTGGCAGAGAAGTATTAAAATTTCCTCCTCTACAAGGCAGGAAGAGCAGACACAGCCCTGGACTTCCTCTCCCAGATCCTTCCTGACCAAGATGCCCTTCTCCAAGGGAGGAGCCGTGACCTTCAAAGGCCATGTCTTGGTAGATCAGGATGTACTCATATTCATAGCACACATCAGTTGCTCTGTTGCAAAACAGGTGAGTTAATAAACTTACTGTGTTAGCCAATTTTGAGACATTTCTGCTGGAAAGAGAAATACATGGTGAATTAAAGAGAAACCTGTAAGTGCATGTAATAAAGACAACTGAGTTGTTTGGGAAGCTCCCATTTCCAGCTCCCAGAGTTCCTCTACGTCCCTGAGAATAAAAGATGAGCGGTCCCCATCTTTGGTGAAAGGCTTGATGGAGCTGGCAATATCACTCTGGTTTAACACCGACTATAAAGGATGCTTACATTTCAACAGCATTTTTAATAATATTTTTTGTAAGCAAAAGCTAAAGGAGTTACTTTCCACCAGGGTCATGAAGAGTTCACTAAATGCTGATAGACTGTATTCTGTATTAATGGTGCTAAGCTAACTGCCTCACAGAACTGCCAGAGCCCTTTATTTAAAGAAATAGCACTGTATTTCACAAGAAAATATTTTTAAAGCCTTCTCTGCTAATAATTTGTCTAAAGAGAGACAGGTCTAATTGTTTATATTGAATCTGGAGGGCGCAGTACTGGATGTGTTCAGTAAGATACATGCTTTATTTGAATATATATTTAAAGCAGCATGCAACACAGATCATTAAAGCATTTTATATTCTTTTTATTTAACAGAATACCAGCAATTAGCTTTTCCAGCTAATTACTGGATTCTACAACTGACTCTTCAAAAAGCTATGAGGTTTAAGTTGAGGCCTTTATACCAAGCTCTGGGTAAGGAGTTCCACATACCAAGAGGAGAATCACCTTATTCAGTTCAGGTCACAGTTCCTTCTCTTCAGCAAGGGAAAGGGATCTGCAGCTCATCTCTGGCTGTGGGTAAGATTCTTACTCCCTTGCATGGGTAATGCAAGTAAAAAACTAGTCCTTGCTGATACTTGTGCAAATTCCATTATGCTGGTGATCTGAAAACTGTGGTACTAGTTAGAAACCAGAGCTTATTACAGTCAAAACCATGATAACTTTAAAGCAAAACTACTAAGAAAGTGACATAGACTAGATGACAAACGAATCGCTAGGAATAACTTCTCACTTCAGTGCAACCCACTGAAACCCACATGATTTCACTGATTAATTCCTTGACTCCTCACTGGAGGGTGAATCTGTAAAGAACAATCTGCACACACTTCTCCCCTACCATGTCCCATTTCAAACCAATGCAATTGTAGTGAACCAATCAAAGCAAAAGCCCCAAAACAATACAAAAGAGCTTCTGCTTTCCAGAAGTCTTTTGCCTGCCCATGATGGATCAATTTATGAAGCTGACAAAACTTGCCATTAAAATGTGAAGACCATGAAAGTGTTTTGTGTAACACCCAGCTAGACAAAATGACTCTTTTAGCTCCAACTATTTGGTTTAACAACTATAGCAAGAGTGTACACAAATGTTCAGAAATATTCTCACTATATATGTCTCTCTGCAAAGGGCTGGTAATGCAACCCATACCCCAGCAGCACCAAGGTGACTTCCAGAAACTGTGGTATCTTGAGAACTGCAGGTTCAGCTTCTCAGGTGGTAAACTGTCCATACATGTAGAGATAGAAATTGAGGGTCATATTTAATGAGGAAACAATTCCTCAGACTCTAATCTATTAGCTTCCCAGTGTGTGACACTGATTCCAGTGTACTGGTTTAAGGAACTTGCGCTCTTGTGTATCTGTGTAAAATGGCATCAAGTGACCCCAAAGAAACTTGAGTAAAGAGCACAGGGAGAGAATTAATCAGTTGTCAGCTTATCACTTAAGCATAACCTTAATGTTAAGCATGGAACTAATTTTGTTAACATGAATTCAGTAGTATTATCTGTATGTTTAAAGTTAAGCACTAAACTTATCTATTATACTATATCATGGCCTAATAGCTTGCACACTTACTTGCAAATTGAAGGTGCTTGATATGTTTATACTGGATCTCCCTGTTGTTGCACATCAGAAATTGTTGCCCAAGCAAGCAGGGTAACAAGCATATAGCAGTGCAGCCCAACTCTTTCTAAGGCAGGGACAGAGGGATGGTAAAGAGCTGAATATGGACAAGGAAAATGTATAAACCAGGTCTTCCAGAGCTCTCAAGCAGCAGATCAGGTTTTCCAGAGCCCTCAAGCAAATGTCGCTAGTTTGGCCTTAGCCCCAAGGGCAGCAGGGTTACGCCACTGCTGAGGCTTTTGAAAGTTTTTGCTCACTGGATTAGAAACAATAAGAGGGACATTGTGGTTTACATGCAGCTGTTAGAGACAGAAGGGCTGAGCTCTGGTCTTGCTCACTCATGGGTGAGCATTTGTTCAAGTCCTCTCACTGCATCGCTACTCTGGGGACAGCTATATTTTGCTGTCATGACTCATTTTTACATGTCACTCCATGTGTGCAAAGATGATGGAACCCAAGACATTAAACCTCCCTGTCAGAGTGCCATGTGAATGGGGCCTCTCCACCTGTCTCTGTCTTGATGTGTATAGAAGGAAGGTCTGGGAGATTTAGGCAATAAACTGATATTCTCACTCACTAATGACCAAAAAATAAATGTTCTGAGTGATGCAGACAGAGCCTTGGGTGACATGGTCTAGTGTGAAGCATACCTGCCCATGGCAGGGGGGATTGAAACTTAAGGTCCTTTCCAGCCCAAACCATTCTATGATTCTATATACTCAGCACCTTCTATTCTCACTGAAGTAAATAGTTCCTTTGGGACTACTTTCATGTGTCTTTAGGGGATATAACCAAATTGCACCACATGAGAGCTGGTAATTTTAAAGTTATGCTGTAAGGGAAAAACTATAAACATAACAGGAAAGACTGGATGTTTTCCATTCATATTTTTAGAATGGTTGCTTCTCATCTGTACACATTAGTTTTTCTACATCTCTGGCAAGCTTTTAATGAATTATTTAACTGGAATTGAAAAGCAAGTCTTGCTTTTAAATTAAGGCAATAAAAGCTGTTGTATTTTCTTTCTTTTTTTTTTTTTTATTCTTAGAATATTATCATAGAAGATAAAAATCAAAACCAGATCCAAGAGGCAATAAGGCTAACAAAACACCCAACCTCTAACTGCATGGACAAGAGATACATCGTTCTAGAGAAATGACTGGCTATGATCAGAAGTCTGATTAGTAGAGACTGTTGAATCCATGAGGTTTTAATTGGAAGCCTTTTGACATTGTGTCAGTCTTTCGTGATGGGGAGCACAGGGCGTGTGGTGCAGGGCCATGTGAACAAACCACTGCTGCATGAACCAGGCCAAGTTTTGCGCAGAACTTGGTGGAAAAGCTGAGAGTGGGTCTTGTATAAACAGACTGGCTTGAAATTTCCCATCTCCTTGGGTGAGGCATAGGTGGGATCCACTTGCTGAAAAAGTCACTCATCTGAATTGTAGAGCAGGAGAGGTTCTGTGCCCACTTCCCAGAACAACTCTCTTCAGTATTTCCATCCTTCCCCTTTGGCCATTAAGACAAGATTGTCTCCTGCAACTGAACAGTAAACGTTTCTTGAACAGTTCCTCCCTCTGCAAGCAGACCTTGAAAATTGATTATTTCTTGTTTGTTTCTTTTAGTCTCCAAATGTTTCTGCCATTATAAGGCAGGCAGTTATTTTGCTAGGAAGGAATGTGAAGAATTAGAAAAGTTGAAAGTGATTAGGATTCTGTTTTTTAAGACAGAGCCATTCACAAAGCCTGGCTGGCATTCAGCCTGCTCAGAGCAAGCATCATAAGACACCCTGAAGCCATGAAATCCCTCAGTTTTAAACCCCATGGGGTGGCTTTTGCATTATCAGGAAAGAAATGATGTTGCGGAGGCTATTTTCTTCATATTTTTAAGGCCTGTGAGTTAATATTTGTTCTAAGTCGATATTTATTTTTGGATACTTTTATTGTTTCTAAGAAGGCCACAAAGGGTTCAGTGTTGTGGAGAAATGGTTACTTTGTATTTATGGTTAAAGAAAAAAGTAGAAGAAAAAAAAGAAAGTGCCAAACAATCCTGCCCCAGTTCTTTATTTAAGGAGACAATGTACTTTCCACCCATGCACAGGCAGTGCTTTACAGGCTGTATAATAAAACGCTGTTCCAGATATTGTCTAAATAGAAACAGATTTAACCCTGCTGTTGTGACTCGGATTGCTGGGTAATGAAAGTTTTCAATCTGGTTTTACTTTGTTTTATGCTCGCTGGAGAGCTGCACATCCACAAAACCCTGCTGCCTTATGCACAGAGACCTGTTGTTGCAATGCCATCTGTTTGTGTATATAAGGTGAACATCCCCATAAAAACAACAAAAAAGAAACCTATTTGGATTTGGTCTTTTCTGATAGGTAACGAATCCTAATTCAACCCTTAAGTGATACTTCCTGCAAAGACTGCAGGTTATAGAACAGGACCCAGTGGTTTCAAGTGAGACTTTAACTGACTCATGACAATAGGTGGTGGTTCCTATTGCTTCATTTTGTGCCAAAAGGTCTGAAACTCAAGAATTTCTAACCCTAAAACTCCATGACAATGAGTCAAATCATTTTACTATGCAGTCATCCACTAATGGCATACTCAAAACTGCTGAAAAGACTCTTTAATTTAAGTTGGCTTTGAAAATTACCCATTGCCGTGTTACCTAAAGCAACCTCCAAGTGTTTCTCTGTAGGGGAAAAAAACCTGTGATAAGAGATAGTCCCTGAAGATCCGAGAACAAAAGATGGGCTTCAGAATATGCATATCAGGAAACGGTCCATTACTCATTAATTGCTCCATTTCCGTGCACCAGTGAGGGTCACCCTGTCACTGAGGAGCAGAGAGATTATAACAATAATATAAATACTGCTTTATTTACAATTTTACAAGAAAACAACTTTCCATGGTTATTATGTAGAGACTGGATTTTTTTTTTTAAAGTTTCCACAAATAAAGCACTCTCAGAGGACAGTAGGAAGTTTGTAATTTGAAGCATTTTGCAGTGGGACTAGAGGCGTTATTTCCATATGTCACAGAGACACATCCAGCTGCTGGGGCATAAGCTAACAAACCAGGAGGAACCAGATTCTCCTCCTAGCTCCCCTACATATTTCCTGTATGACCTTGAACAAGTTACTGAGTTTCATTGCCTGTGTGTACAGGCAGTACTGTATTTATTATACTTCCTTTTACACTCCATGATACTCTCTTTTATATTCTTAAGTATTTTATATTCATAAAAGTCACCCTTGTTCAGGTCCCCTTAGCTCTCGTGCCAGCTACCTGCTGATGGTGGCCTATGCAATTACCTGCTCCAAAGCAGCTCAGTCCCAAAGATGGTGATGGAGGAGGATGAAGGGAGGGTGCCAAGGCTGAAGCACTGGCAGCCTGCACCCTGCCTGCCTGGGGCTGCCTGGGACTTGCTGGACCTGGGGTTATTGTGGTTTTCCCATCTGCACATCAGAAGTAACAGGATTCACCTACTGCATGAGAAAATATGTGTGGGTAAATACAAGTGACACTAAGGATAGGCATTATTATCATAATGTGTGTCTTATGAGTGTTTGAGGTAGTCACTATAACAACATCGCCTAAAATTTGTGTCCACTTGAGCTGCTCTGTCTCTGTAATCGCAGAGCAAGAATGGGCAGGTATGACTCTGATTCTTATCATCTAGGATTAAAACACAGCAATCACCCCAGCCCACCTCTTAGTATTCATTTTACTTATTAAAGCTTCCCAACAAGTCTCTGCAGTGATGTTATCTGC